TTTTTTTTTATCTCTTTGCGTCGAAGTGCTCGCGCAGCGGCAGTGCGGTGGCGCGGTCTCTTCCTGGCAGCTGGGTCTCTCTCCGGCAAGGGTGTCTGGTGGGTAGAGTTAGGGTTTAATATGAAGAAGGTTATTTATACACTTCTCCTTTTAATGTAGGTCGTCCATCGCGTTTGATCTGAACCGTTCGATCGTGATTAAATAAGAAGTAGATCTAAATCGTTGATCGTGTTTAAATCTGACTATCCGATCGCGTCTGGGAAGTGCACGCATCTGAGCCGCCTGTGCGCGCGGGAGTGGATATGGGTCGTCCGATTGCAGGCACGCAGATCGCCCGTGTGGCCTCCTGCGTGGCACTGCGTCAGCGTCGGTTGCCACGAGACGCGTTCTGCTTTTTCAGAACTGCTGACCGGGTATCCTACATGACACAACTTTCTTAAATTGCATTTTGACCTCCAGTTTCTGATTTTTCTTTTTAAAATATCTCCAAAACCTAAATTTTCACCTATTTTTTGCAAAATTGTTTTCAATTTCATCATCTTTCAAATTTTTTTTATTTTTACACTAAATTAAAATTAAAAAATTAAAAAAATTACAGTTACAAATTTATTTTGAATTACATAAAAAAATTAATTTGGGTATTACAAAATATAAAAATATTTTCTTAAGAGAAGAAAAATGGCACCAACAGAAATTGAAAATTAAGGGAGCTAAGTCGAGATCTTTATATAGTTGATCTTGACATTCCAAAGTTAAGAATATATTTCTTATTTTCTCCAAGATACCTCGAGGTAAACCTTTCTTCAATTTTCATGAAGAAACTTAAAGGAAAATGTGTTAGGAAATTGGAGATTAAGTGAAGTAAGTCAGTCCTGAGCTTGTTTGTGCATACACCACTTAAAGCTGAGATAACATTCCAATACACTTGAAAAGGACTTCTACTAGCCTCACATGTATACTCCGTTTGCAGCTACTTTTCAAAAGACATTTTCCTTTAAGTTCAACTAGCAGACTAGCTGTTGCATTGTATCTTACACAAGATTGTGTAGCTTCCCATTGTTTTTCTTTTTCAAAATTTCATTTGATTTTAAATTCGTTAGTTATTTCCCTCGGAATTAACTCAAAGATTTAAGACTTGAACTGCTGCAGAATCCTTGGGATGTAATCCAGTTCTCTGGTGATGCACGTATTCATTTGGATTCCTTCTTGTCAGTTTTTAATATATCTGGTCTTCCTGAACAATATTATCACAACAGTAAGTTTATTTTTCTTTACATCTTTGATTGCTCATCCTAAAATTATCCTAGGAAATTATATTCTTTCTCCTTTTAGAAAATCTTACTCTACATGCCATAATCAAGTCGCTCAAACAGCAAAATGCTTACATAAGACTTGTAGCAGGTCACTTATCTAATGATGGAGATACTTTTGTTGATGGAGCTGTCATAGCTGCAGCAAGAACTTTGCCCACTTGGTCAGATGGGGATTTGCCTCCAGTTCCTAGCATGGAGAGGAAAGCCGTGAAGGAGTTACAGGAAGAATGCCAACAGATGCTTGCCAAATTTCCTACTACTTCTGAGCAAGACCAGAAATTGTTGGGTAAAAATTACTATGTTTTCCCTCTTAATCTGGCTAGTCAGGTTGCATATACATGTCTCTTTGGTTAAGGGTAGAATTGCTCATCATCCTGGAAGTTGACAGAACTGGGCTTTATAGTCTTTATCACCAGTTAGACTATTCTAATGTTACATAGGGTTGTGATTTACCATGTGAGAAAGAACTAGAGAATGTCATAGGTCTAATATGAATATGCTGACTGTTGTCTTAATATCTTTTTGCTGTTCTATGAACAACAGAATCTATGCCAGATTCCAGGAGGATACTTGAAACTGCAATAAAGTACGTACTTCTTCTAACATTACACATTTTATTTTACAGTGAATGGCAAAGAAAGCTTAGTTATTCATTCTTCTGCTTACAATATATTTTTGAGCAGGTATAGAATGCACCGCAAGTTATTGATAGAGAAGATCATAAGAGCATTGGATATTTATCAGGATCGAATATTGTTTTAGTCAAGAATTCTGTTTACTAGAAACAGCTTTATTTCATAGCTAATGCCCTATAAAAAATCATCATTCAATCGTTAGTTCTTTGCAGATTCTAATGTATCTTAATACCCTAGATATGGCATGAAAAGGTAGTTCTTCTTTGAACATATTCTTTGAGTTGCAATTTCGTTAGCACAAGTTTTGAATCACGGCATATCCTCACTTGGGTTTAACTTCTCCCGCTGTCTTTACCATTATTGTTCACCAACCAAGCTCCCAAATGTTTTGCACGAAGCCCTTCTAATATTGAATAAGTACCCTCTCTCTTCTAGTTATATTAAATTATGCGCAACACTTTGATAATTGAAAAACTGTACTATTTAATTTTACTGAATTATTGCATTTACATTGAGCTTCTATGCATACAAGAAAAGATTATCTTATGTAAAAAATGATTTATACATGAAATCAAGTATGTCTAGGAGAGTATCCTAATTTATATAAAGTATTTGGAACAACAATCCTAATGTGAAAAGATTACTTTTTTAAAGCAACATCACATATTATTATTAAAATTTTTCCTCAAAATTAAGTGGATAGTTTGATCCTAACTTGAGTTTAGGAACTAAGTTTTGGAAATGAGTGGGAAGGTAAGTTTTGATAGCAACATCAAAGTCGAATTATAACAAGGATGTAGAGATCAATCAAGTTTAAGAGTATCTTAATAAAATTGATTAAAGTTATAATCAATCTCAATTTCTTTGGAATGTTTGTGAAAGATATTAGTCTAAGTAATTAAAATAACACTTTGATTATTATAGTGGGGATCAGTAGCAAAATAACATGCTACACCCATTTTGTTCAAAAAATGATAAGAGGTAGAGCAACTATGAGGTAGCATATGGTCTTATAGATCATTTTTTAAGTTGAAGTTACTCTTTGTAATACCATTGGATATATCTTATTAATTTATATGGATCTAAAAGCAAATCGCTTTAAAGTTTTAAACATATATATACACATATAAGTTATTGCTTTGTAGTATCATTGGATATATCTTATTAATTTATATAGATTTAAAAGCAAATTGCTTTAAACAGTTTATAAAACTCAATTTTATGATTGTTTAAAGTTTTAAACATATGTATATAAGATATTGTTTTTGTGATGTTATCGAATTTATCTCTTTTATTACGTACATTTATTGAACAGTTTCTAGAACTCAATGCTACAATCTTTTAAAAATTTAAAGGTCATGAACTGTTATTCATAATTTTCATATTATTTATATAAATTTTTAATACTATATATATATATATATTGAGATTTCAGTATGAAATACAAAAGTCTGTTTAAAGCTAACGAATATATGAATTTTTTTTTTTATATCACTATATTTCTCTCATCAACATATGTGGATTATTATCGCATTTTATAGTGTTGTAGGAGTCATGTATTTATGTTGATTAAAAAACTCAAATGCTATCATTAGTATGAAAATAAGTATATGTGATTCATCAAAATTAGTATGTTACTACATTTTTGCTCATTAGTTTCTTTTTTTATGGATAACAAAATATTATTTTTTTAGAAAAAAAACATGACTATATTATATAAAAAGCATAAAAATAAAGACATATAATCTTATTTAAAAACAAAATCTTATTTTATAAATTACTTTATATTTTTAATACAATAGTAATACTTATCTATTAATATTTATATTTAATTTAATATATATATATATAATAAAAATATATTTTTAAAAAAATTAATATTTGTAGCAGAGCATACATAGATAATACTCAAAACTACCATTAATCACTCTCTTTCAAGTTGCCAAAGGTTGTCCCTCAAACCAAAAAGCATTCATTTTTATTATTGGTACTTTGAAAGCATTACAAATCAATCTCGTATGGTGAAGAAGAATGACTTTAGTTTATTTTGGTTAACTAATTTAATATAAAATACCTCATACACCTACCAAAAGGTTCCAATCAGACAAATCCAATTAAAATATCCACCACATTTTTTTTATTTATTTTATAAACCTGTAAAACTATATAAAGACAGACATAAAAGGCTACCTAAAGCTAAAAACTTGAATATTAATTGAGAAAGAATTTTCCTTCTTTGTATTTTAAATAAATGGTTTAACATGTTTTTTACTCAACCTTTTAGCTTACAGCTTTCCTTTCATCAAATTTTTTGAAATATAATAACTTATTTATTAGGAAAAAAAAAAAGCATAATTCAAAGTATTAAAACGCCTACTTTTTCTCAGTCTTCACTTTCTCCCTTCAAATCAAAATCACGAGGTCCTTGGACAACATACCAGTTGGTAAACTTTCTCTCTTTTCAAGTTTCTTGCTTTCTAAGTGATGGATTTTATCGCCGATATACGTGTGTGTGTGTGTGTATAATATTTTGTTCCATTTATGCTGATTCAATAGTCTAGTACTGGTTGGCTGAGGTATGGTGTATGGGTTCCTCATGTTTCTTTGTTAGCAGCTCGTAGAGAACATTTTGGTGATGGGTATTGGCCGATTCGAGTGGCTATTCTTTTGAAAGTTTTGTTTAAGACTCATTGGTTTGGTTATCTTGATTGGTTGATGTATAATTCTTCCCCATATGCTTTGTCCATTACCTGTTCGTTTAAATGTCTGAACTCCATGCAGGTTAACTTACACTAGAAGTTCACCATTCCTCGAGCTTGACTCATCAATTTGTTGACATAAAACTGGTTGACCAAGGGAGCCTACGCTTGATTTCCTCATTACATCATAATTAGAGTAGATGACATACTGCAACAGTGAAATTCAAATGGTGTAATTTTTTGAAATCCTCTGTTCTACAAGATGTATTATGCTGCTAAAATTCTTCTTAAGCTGATGAATCTTTTCGTTTATGCAGTTGTTGATTCAAGAAAGAATGGCAACTGGCAGTCTGAAGAACATTTTGGCTGCAGCAGTCACCAATGGAGTGATTGAGGCCAGGGCGAGGATCTTTGGGCATATGCTTAACCCTACCGGGTAGAGATCTCCACACAAGATTTTACGCAAGAAGCTTATTGGTGATAAAGTTGCAGACTGGTACCCGTATGACATCAAGAAAGACGACCCCCTTGTCATGACCCGTCAAGAAGAAGAGTTATGCTTTTTATGTCTTACAGTCCCCTGAGATTCAATTATCAACTGCATAATCCATGGTGGAACTTGTTATTGTTTGTCAGGTGTGCAACACATATGCTTTTTACTTGACTTGAAAAACAAAATAGTATATGCATCAACTAAATTCTGCACCCAATGCCAATTGAGATTTTTTTTATCAAGGCCAAATTTGGATGGGTACATCTGTAATTTTCTTGGATGCAGGATTTTAGCTTTTGGCTGTTTAATTTATATCTCTTTCTTGGGAGGTGAATAGAGATACCGCCAGATAACTCTATGCACTTCCATCAGGTTTATCCAGGTGGAAGTTGTTTTAACTTTATTAGTAGGAGGATGGTACTTACATGGGCTGCCCTACCAAATTTGGGTAATAAATTTGTATAATATCTTTTTTCAGGTGGTTATCCAAGCTTGAAATGTTGAAGCGTCGTGGAAAGGGAGCACCGAAAAAGGGCCAGGGAAGGCATCCTGTCAAGCGTAGCAAATATAGATGATAGCTTGAATATTTGAACTGAATAATTGAGAATCATCTGAATGGAAATGATGGTAGTAACAATTGAATAATTTATAATCCTTTGAATGGAAATGATAGTAATAGGACTACACAATTTCTAGGAGTTATTTGTATGATGATGTTCTTTGGTGTTTATTTTTTATTTATGATGCTCTTTTCCTGCAGTGCTGTTGGGAAACTGCAAACTCCATACAGTTTCTACAATGAATAATAAGTTAAAATGATAAGCCTTCACTGATTCCCTGTCCTTAAACTAGCAAAAACAAGGACGGAAGGCACTTTTTGCTGGCTGATTGTTGGACAGTCAACTTCTTTTTCTTTTTCTTTTTCTTTTTCTTTTTTTTTTCGATGAAGTCTTTTGCTCGGTCGTGAAATGTGTGCGAATGAAATTAATGAATTGTGAGACTCTGAACAGCTGCTTTCAGTTGTTATTGGTATACGAATCACTAAGCATAAGCATCAAATCTGCATGGCTGTGGTCACCTTGCAACAATTCTCACTCTCTCAATATAGCCATTTCATGAAGAAGATCTGTTTGGTACTGTTTTCTCTTTGATTGTGCAGAAGCTGACAGATGTGTTTTCCAGCCAAAATAAGATAAATCTGAATAAGAAAAAGTAGGAGAAGGTGCTACCAGAGGCCAAGGAAGAAAGCTGTGTGTCCTGAAATCAATTTAGAATGAGAACCAAAAAAGAAAAAACTAGAACATAATTTCAGAACTGTGTCGGCTGGAACACAAAACAGTACAAAGGAAGTAGCCTACAGAACAATGCCAAAACAAGGGCTAGCACATAAAAAGAAGCTAAGACTTCTTCAAAATTGATGTAGCTACAAACAAAGATATCATTTGCAATCCTAGAAGCTTGAAGAACATAAACATGAGATCTGATAATCTACAGCAGGATACGAAAAAATTGAGAGCTGAAAAGAGTACAAAACTTAAGAGCTCTCATGTTGCATAATTCCCCTCATTACATTAAAGCCTCAAGAAAAAATAAAGCGAGTACACAAGAAATTTCTAGTTTCCTTTTTTTTTAACTATACAATAAATGTCATGTGAAAATTTATTTCCTGTAATTCTTGTTTTTGCTTCCAGGAAAATGTATGTTTTTTTGCACTAGCACATGGTAGAAAAAACTTGAAAGAATTGATCAAGTTATAGGGCTGAATTTGGTCAAACCTGTTATTACCAATAATCATTGCATGAACAACTTCCATTCCTGAAATGATGGAATCTCCTGACATCTCTTAAAATGATCTCCCTGTCAGTTATCTTTGAAATAAACTTAACGGCAACATGGCAATCGTTACAAACTCTGAGGTTCTTGGAAACTCTAATGGTGGTTCCTGGAGGAGTGTTGAGGATACCAAAGGCTATTGCCAGTTTCTCACTATGTCCACATAGCAAAGTCTCTTTCTCGTCCTCACGAACATTGTGAAGTACACAGGAAGTATCAGGCACATAGCCCTC